TATTCCAGCTTTTGGTAAAATGCTTTTACCATCATCATGAAAGATAACAAGAGACAAAGAACAGAACATACATATATGCATACAGTCAGCTGATTATGACAAGAAAACAAAGAAACAAAGAAAGAAAATATGGATTCGTGAATATATCTCCTTTCTTTCTTTGTTCTCTTGTCGTAATCAGCCGACTATATATATATATGTTCTGTTCTTTGTCTCTTGTTATTTTTCCTGATGATGGTGAAAGCATTTTACCAAAAGCTGGAATAATTAAGAATAACCATTGGATTTTGATACAGCTATCATGCATTTCGTAGCATTAACAGATAAGTAAAATGAAATATGAATTAGTATTTTGTGGTTTTTCATTTCTTTCTTATTTTATGTTGCTTTCATTTTATGTAGACCATGTTGTTTATAATATCAAAGTTTTTACTACGTATTTTGTTTTGCATTACAAATTAGATCATTTTATTTTTGTTTCATTGCGGGAGATCACAACGGAAAACTTTCTTCTTCTCCTTTCTACATACTTGTATTTTTTGTACTTTTTCTTTTGTCCTCGATGTCTTTAAAATCAGACATTTGTCAACGGTGCCATCTCCCACAATGTGTTTTAAAAGAGACAAAAACTTATTCGTACATTACTTATCCTGTGAACCACTTAAATACAATATAGCTGATTGAAAACAATTATCAAACGTAGATGATCGATGTTTTGATATAATTAAAGAGCTTGGAAAATCTTATAATATTCATGTAGAACAAACTTGTCTAGCCATCCTGATGTAAATGATTAATATGAGTATATTGTTTTATATACTTAGGTACACGAGACTCCATGAAAAGGTATGCTCAGTTATTGGAAAAGCAATACAGTCTAAAATGCACGAAGAAGTATTTTTGATTGTGAAGATTGGAGAGTAATTCAAGAAAAAAGAAATCATTAAAATCTTTCACACCAGCTTAAAAGTCGTCAGGAAAACAAAATCGAGAAAGTAAATAAATGACACTATTGAAATTATGTATAGTTATTGTTTAGTTTTGATTTTAGCTCCTGAATCAAAAGAATTTCACATTAAAAAATAGTTACCTTCGGCTAGTAATTTTTGAAAAACCGTGTGGTTTTTACTGATTTCTCTTCTGTAAAAAAGTCACACACCAATATTACTTATGAATCATTTCTTACATCACTTTTATTATCATCTGATTTTCATTTAGTTGATAATAACGTAAACTTATATATACGTACTTGAGGTAATAGAATCAGTTTCTATTTAACCGAATTTTCTGTTATACGTTTTTAGGTCACAAAGGATCTATCACGATTCATCCAGTTCAGATGATGGCGAACATGAAAATTTTAACTAACAATTACATGATGATGAAGATGATTCGCAATATGACGTATCATTAATTTTTATACAATTACTATTATCTACAAATTCAAAAATACATATGTCAAAACAAATACCAATAGCCAAACGTTCACGTTTTGCAACGGATCATGATGGTGAAAAAGATGAAGATCAACAAACGGCTTCGCAACAAGCATTAAATCATATCAAACAAGCTAATGTCAACTTGCTAAAATTGCAGAAACAATAAGAGGAGGTAGTAGTCATGTTAGAGCATTAAAAAAATTTTAGATATTTTATCTACAAATAAAAGAATTGCTAGGATTTTAAATCGATATAAAGTAAGAAGAACTCTTCTTAATGTATTCTTTCTCTACAGAACCATTTTATTTTCTAGATTCCAGTCGTTCTTGAAAATGATAATGAAAATGCAATGTCAAGGGTACTGATTCTACTGATCCTGAACTAGTAAGTAGCCAAATTTTAAATCCATCTATTCGCATATATTATGAGTACTTCCTGATTCTCGGTTTTTTATTGATTTGATTTTCATATTACACATATACCCGAAGTGATGGTGTTGTCATTGAGTTATTGATAACATATGGACAAAAGAAAATACAGTTAAATGTGCTCTAATTTAATAGATTTACTAATTACTGATAGACAAGATTTACAAAATGTTGATTCTAAAAAGATGAATGAAGACCCATGAATGCAAGCTATATATGGTATGTAATGAATAACGTTTCTAAACAATGTTTTATCGAATTTCATGTTATTTTGTTTGTTGTAGATGTTATTAGGCAACAATTTAATTATTCCACGAAGGGCATGACCATAGTTTGTCGACCCAGTGGAAAAAAGTCAGCTTATATCTGATTTTGTGAGATTTTTATCAGACTTTTCTTCAACAAAATCCAAATTATAATTGATTAAACTTTTCCAAATTACAAATAATCTGATTTTTAATCAAAAATAATTCTTCGAAATCAAGGATACTTTAAATTTTAATCAAGTTATATTGAATTTTAATCAAAATTTTATTGGATTTCGAGGATTATTTCGGATTGAAGAAGACCTTTCGAAATCAAGTAAAATTTTGATTAAAATCTAAAGTATCCTTGATTTCGAAGGATTAGTTTTGCTTAAAAATTGAGTTACTTGTAATTTGGAAAGTTTCATTCGATTATAACTTAGATTTTGTTGTAGAAAAACCCAATAAAAATCTCATAAAACCAGATGTAATCTGGCTCTTTACCACTGGGCAGCCTCACACGATTTTATTCTCAGTTATCGTCGTAACCA